CGAGGCCCTGAGCAACCTGGCCTGGCTTTGAAGCGACCTGTGCCCACTCACGGGCATGGAGTTTTGCCCCTCCCTTCCCCCCGTCCCGTTCCGTTCCCTGATCTCCTGCCGCGTTTCCAGGTGGATCGACAAACTCAACCTCCGCATAGGGGCCACCTGTGGGTCCCCTGCAGAAGCCCGGGGGCTGAAGGTGAAGCTTTCCACCACTTTCCAAACCTGCCCTGGCTGGGGCCGAGGCAAGGCTGGGGGAACCAGTCCTAACAAGACCAAGGCTGCAAGCAAGCCCAACAAGAAAAAGAGATCAGGAAAATCGCCAGCCAGAGGCTTCAAGAAGAGCAGAGCTTAGGAAACATGTGCAGGACACAACAAGGCCGTACCTACAGTCTGGTTGAGAGCAGTTTTGCTGGATTTGTCCCCACCGCAGCGACATGGATATTGCACAAGGTGCAAAGGAGAGAGCCTGGTGCCACCAGAGCAATGCCAATTTGCCAAAGATGCGGGGTTTGTTTTTGCAGGACACAGAGGCACATTACCCTGGAAAGAACTTGTGCAAAAAGCTTCTGTAGTGTTTGCAACGCACTTTGATGACTTGAACAAAGCCAAATACTTGCTTTTTCTTCCCAACATTCCCTTCAGCCATGCAGAAAAGCTGGAATCCACAAGTTTGTTTTTGTTTTTAAGAGCGCTCTGCTTTCACAGCTTCAGAAACAATTAAGGAGCCCTGAGCAGGACTGCAAACAGCACCGACGCAAGATCCTACACTGGCTCAAATCTTAGAGCAGAAAGCTTAATTATCATCAGTGAAAACATTGCCTGAATTCCCAGCAGCTCCTCAGAATTAAAACTTAAGCAGATCAAAAGCTTTCTATTTCCTGCAAAATTTGATCGGTGGTTCCCACATCCCATTCATAAGCGATGTACCCAACCTATTCCCCACAGCAGCCCAGGGGGAACACAAGGCGATTCTTCTTTTTAAAGTCAGAAGTTTGTTCGAATTGGGAAGGCTTTAAAAGGTAAACACTTCTAGCTGTTAAATGACCATGTGGGGCATGGAACTGTTACAGCAAAAAAACAGGAGGAAGAAAGCCAAAGGCGTTTGGAAATTACCATCCTATAAAGACAGGTGGCCCTACAAGCCCAGCTGTTCGCCAAGGCTGGGGAAAGGTGGCAGCCCAGGAGGGAGGGGAAGAGAGAAACGCAATGGCTTCGCCCTGAAATGGGATCCTCCCACATTAAGACATCTATTGCAAGCTGGTGATGGGCAGAGCTGCCAGGACAGGCAAGCAGACAGGGGCAGGGGAACCCCCTTACACGCCTTCAATAAAAATCCTACACCCCCCGCCACACTCACCCCATCATGGTTTCCCCAGGAGCCCAGGGCCCTCCCGGGGGTCAGTTAGGGACGGGCCGAGATGGCACAGCTCTCATGCCCGGTTTGACAGACCCTCCACACTTCTGCTTGTGTTTCATTGCTCCCCCACGGCCTTTTCTTCCCGCTCCAGTTAAAGGCTCCATTTGCCTCTTTAGAAGGGAAGAGAGGAAGACCGTGTTAATTACTCCCAGTCTCTCCCCAGGGTTTTCTAGACAGTTAGCTTGCCAACTTTTTTTTTTTTCATGAACCACTGTGCAAAGCAGGAACTATTTTGGCATCACAAGCTCTGGCCTGGAAGCTTGAAGGGAGCATGGCCAAGGCAGCCATTTCGTGGCCAAAGTGGTGTCCTGGGCAGCCACCATTTCCCTGCAGGGTCTGACAAGGCACTCGCCCTACAGCCGGCTGGGCCCCGCAGCGGCACTGACAGGCAGGGCACTTCCTCGCCTGCAGAAAGTTCACAGGAACTGGCTACAGGAGATTTAAAACTGTTTTTCATCACTGTTGCCATACTGACCTTTACGATTTCTGTCCTGAGCTTTGATGGGCAGTCTGGGGAAAGAGAGGAATGTTAAATTTTGTCCTGAAACTGGAAATGGCGTCCCCCACCTTAAGTTATCTATTGCATTCTTGTGATATTCAGCCCTTACGCAGAACTGGCAAGTAGACAGGGGTGAGTGCACAGAAAAACCCTATTGCATGCCTCAAAACAACACCCAGAACATTGTTTACTTATACCCACCCACTTACAGCCCTCTTCTCCTCCCCATCTTGGCTAACCCTGGTATTTTGGTGACCCGTAAAACAATACACAAGCCTTCGGCCTCTTCCTCAAGTTTAATTCCCAGGGCTTCAGGGTACAGATTGTAGATCAAATTTACAGTAGGACTGCTAAAAAATTAAGAAGTCAAACTGTGCACCATGTCCTCTGCAGTTCTGGGTTCAAAAGCAAGCAATGATGACACTCGAAAAGGTCTCTTGCTCCCTCAAGAGGCATCATCACCCCTTTTTGGTGTTTGTTTTTTTTTTTCCCACCTCTTTCCACTCTTCCTGTCCTGACTTTCTTGGGGGTTGCAGGGCGTAGATCAGGGAGCACAGCACCGGTGTCCTACGAGGGCAGCTGATTTCCTGATGCATGTGACCTGCACACCATTCTCAGAGCGCAGCTCACCACCTCTAGCCATGGCTGAGAACCTAAACTGCCCCTTCATTCTCTGGCAGCCTCTTTCCCCATTGGGAGCTCCTGCTCGGAAAGGTGCCTTCAAAGCCAGGCACACACAACCCCAGCAGCTGTCCTGGTCGTGCTCCTCAGCACACCTGCGGCCTTTCTGGAGTCCGTTTCCCAGGGCTTAAAATTACAAGTCTGGGGGAAGTTTTCTTGCACACCAGGAAAGCAGAGTTGTGATGTTGCAGGGTGGTCTGCCTCAAAAAGGTCTGTTGCCAGGACCTTCCCCAGAGAGCCACAAGGTGAAGCGCAGGCTGCTGTGGGCAGCTAGGGGGTACTCCACAATCAGTCTGTGACCTCCTGCTTTATGCTGCTGACAGGAACGGGAAGCTCTGTGGCTCCAAACTCTACTATCGAGGGGTCGATGGTTTCTTCCTTTACCTGCACGGCAATGACTAGCAAAAGACAGAAAGACAGGGAAAAATAAGTAAGTAAAATCAATTCATGCTGCCTTGCTCTACCTGCAGCACCCCAGAACCAGCTCTGTTCATGCAGATACTCAAAATGCCCCAGGTTTCCAGCCCTGTCTTGCCGGCACAAATCTATCCATGGTCACAGCAGCAATCAGGATGGGACTAAAACCTGGCAGCATTCAGCTACCTGCTCCCAAGAACAGCTTCTCCTACAGCCGAGGGAGGAAAAGCCAGTGTGGTCCATTCTCTGCCTGCCTGGGTCCACACAGGGGACACTAAACCTTTGTGAGCAATGGGGAACTTCATGAGGTTCCATCCCCACATGCACAAAGCACCTCGCCCACCCTCTTCCCACTAGGGTTGGCAGGTGATCCAGCTGCCAGATGCTCTTCTGGTCATCACATCTCTTGGTGCTCAGCATGATGGGCTGTGTGCACATGCTGTGACAGCCCTTATGGGGACTGGCATGTGACAGCACACTTCTGACATGTCCATCTCGGCTCTCCTCCCTAACTGATCTCACACCACCAGACTGCTCAGCAGGGCAGCCAGGCCCTCAGCAGGCATCAGCAGTATCAACATACCCAGCTATACTGGTGTTACCAAACCTCCTCAGGAGGCAAAACCTCCCAGGGAAAGCCAGTAAAGGCTTTCTTCCACTCTCTCTGTCTCTGGAGGAGTGGGGAAGGACATTTGTCATGTACTGCCTTTCCCTGCCTGGGGGCACCCATGACTTAACAGCCAAGAGGCAGCACAGGCCTCGTGAGGGCCGGTGGCATGCAGGGCGTATGCGAGAGAGTTGCATGTGGCTGCTGGGTAGAGTAACTCACTCCCTTACTCTCATCAGGTGCTGGCTCTGGCAAAGCCTTGCTGGCAGCTTTTGCTTCTCGTTTCGTCTTCGCGGTGGAAGGCTTCTTGACAGTCTGCTTGATGTTGCGGGTTTTGGCAGGCAACTTTTTTCCTTAACAAAGAAATAACAGAGCATAGGGAAAAGTGTGTTTCTTTTCCCCTGGAAAATCAGCAACCCTGCTCCACTGAGAAACCACAGGCCAGGGACCAGCACAACTGACCAGCAAGCTACACGGTCATTAGCTGCCAACTGGTTACTCAACAGAAATGGCCTACTGGAGAAAAACTCTATAGTCATCATCTCAAAATACGCTCCTCCGTGTTCTCCTTCATTAAAGGCAAGGCACTTCAGCGTGTGCTTAACTTCCGAGGAGCGGGTCCTGTTGGAATCAGTCTAGAGTCAGCTTTGCTTACCTGTCTGGGTCTAGTCCTAGGCAATGGGCATGGTGGCTCCAAGGCATGGACACTGTAGCATTAGTGTTTTCATTTTTAGCTGACTTTTTTATTTAGGTTGAATGTCTTTATATTCTTTAGTTGTCCTTTCCTCTCCACCCCCCAGGAAGGAATTTCTTGCCTTTCTACACATGATTTGCCACAGCTACTGCAACAATGACGACAACAACGACAAGATGAAACAATAACATGGTCCAGCCCCACTACTGGTCTCTTCAGCCATCTTAAGGCCTTCTTTCCCTCAGCACAAAGCAGGCAGGGTTGCTCTCCAGCTACCCTCCAGCTGCAGCAAACAATCTCCCTCCGACCACAGACACAGTGGGGAAAGCAGCACAACCTCACGCCTGGAAGCAAGCGCCATCTATACCTCGGCCAACAGAAAACAGACTGCAAAACAGATCCTTCCCACACACACAGCTCTCTGCTCTCTTAAGCAATGGGGGCAGTTAAGAAGGATGAAGCTGTGCTGTCAACCCACAGCTGCCTGAGGGCATCCACAGCAAGACAAGGCCTCTCTCCTGCTCTGACGGGACATGGACAGGGTTCCTCTAACTGGGCCCAGCCTGCGAGCGAGCGGGAGGGCACTAATCAAACATCACTCACTCTTCTTTCCATAGGGTTTCTTCTTCTTCTTGGGCACCTCCTTGGCCTTCACGGGAGTTGTGGGCTCTGTCATGGAGACGAGAGGGAAACGAAAGCCAAGTCCCATAACCAGTAGGTAACTGGGATGAAGTGACATAAGCGAGAAACAAGATACACCCGTCCCCCCGAGCCAACGCCCTCTTCCCGAGACAACCAGCTGAGGGGAAAGCAAGGCTCTAGCGCAGTTGCTGTCTGTGCTTCCAGGCGAGGGCCCAGGGTGGCAGGCTAGGGCAGCATAGGGGAGAGAGGCCCAGCAGAGATTTGGCAGGGGCAGTAAAGAAACAAGATTTGTAGCTTGGGACAAGAAGGAAAACATCTGCAAAGGCGAGGCAGTGGCCTCCCTGCAACACGGGAAGGAATAAACTCTTGAGAGTTTACCTCTTTTTACCTCTTTTTACCTCTTACCTTTTACAGACAAAGTCAGAGAATTGATGAGAAAAGGGAGCAGGGGCCAAGCTCCCCCTGCTACCTGGCTGAGGTTGTAGGTACGCTTAGTAAAAGGGAGCTGTGCAGGGATAGGACCACCTGGAACTCTACCCGACTTCATCAGGAGCAATTCTCTGTTGGCGTGCAGGTGTGGGAGCAGAGGGAAAATAGAGCCAACCTCAAATCTCAGGCTGTTTTCTCCCCACCACAGACTCCTCCCTCTGCCAGCTGCTAGAATGTGTGGCAGCAGAGGGAGACTTATGGTAGCTAGCGCAAATCAAGGAGGCAATTTTCTCCTCCCTACAAGGCCCAAAAAGGAGGAGCCACTCACAGAGCAAGAGGAAGGAAACCTTTGCCTCTAGCATTAGAAACCACGGTCAAATCTTCACTCACCTGGAACAACAGGTGGTTGAAGCTGGTAGCCTGTCAGCTCGCACCACCCCACAGGATAAATGTCTGGAGACTCGCAGTCCACCCACTGGTCATACTCGTTGTCCCAGCCATCAAAATGGATGCTAAGGAGACGGTGAACTACACGCTTCACCGTGGCCACGCAGATGAGCCGGGGCTCCATCAGGTCCACTGCTTCCACCTTCATGCCTGCCTTGAAGCCATGGTTTGGGCAGTCCTGGGTGCAGAAAAAATGAAAAAAGAAAACCCAAGGCCATTGCACCCAGTCCAAACCCACAGCCGGCCACCAGCAGCCTAGAACAGGCTTGCCTCCAGCTTAAAGCAAGCAGAGAGAGAACAAGCCCACAGTCACGCAACAGAACCAACCAGTCACGTAACAGAAGGGGGCACACATGAATAGATCCAAGGTCAGCTGTGTCCTTAGTGAATCTCAGCCCAGCCTTCAGAAACAAGATTCTGACCTCGGGGGAACAGCAGGCAGCAGTTAAGGGACATCCGATCAACCCCATTAACCCGAGATAGCCCTGGGAAATCAGAAAGATCAGCACAGGCCCAGGTGCTGCAGCACTTTTGCTGATGCAAAGCAGACCCCCTCCACCCAAGTGCCAGCCACATGTCCACAGGCAATAAGCAGTGCAGAACCCACCAAAAGCCTGGAGCTCCTGGAAACACTAGAGAACCACAGGTCACACTCAGAGGAACCAAGGTATCATTACATCCACAAAGGCATGACACTGCTGGTCCCGAGCAGCCAAACAGGGGCTTTACTTGGAGAGCACACACTTTCGTGCATTGGGCTCTCCTTAGAAGTGCTGACTGGAAGCAAAGAGCAGCCCAGTAGAGACACTGGATATCATCTACCCTGACTTCAGGAAGGCTTTTGACACTGTCTCCCATAAGATCCTCATAGAGAAGCTGATGGAAGTACGGGCTGGGTGAGGTGACAGTGAGGTGGATTGAAAACTGGCTGAGTGGCTGGGCCCAGAGGGTGGCGATTAGTGGCATGAAGTCGAACTGGAGGCCAGCAATCAGCAGTGGGTCAATACTGTGTCCAACCCTGTTCAACGTCTTCATTATCTGGACGACATGACAGAGTGTATTGTCAAACTCAGCGAGTTTGCTGGATACAAAACTGGGAGGAAAGACTGATATACTAGAGGGTTGTGTTGCCATCCAAAGGGACCTTGACAAGCTGAAGAAATGGTCTGACAGGAACCTCATGCAGTTCAACAAAAGGAAATGTAAAGTCCTGCACATGGCAGGAACAACTCCAGGCACCAGCACATGCTGGGGGCTGAGAGGCTGGAAAGCAGCTTGGCAGAAAAGGACCTGGAAGTCCCGGTGAACACCAAGTTGAACATGAGCCAGCAATGTGCCTTTGGGACAAAGAAGGTTAATGGTATCCTTGGCTGCATTAGGAGGAATGTTCCCAGCAGATCAAGGGAGGTGATCCTTCCCCTCTACTCAGCACTGGTGAGGCCACACCTGGAGTGCTGTGTCTAGGTCTGGGCTCCCCAGCAGGAGAGAGACATGGACATACTAGAAAGAGTCCAGCAAAGGGCCACAAAGATGATGAGGGGACTAGAGCATCTTTTATATGAGGAAAAGCTGAGAGAGCTGGGACTGTTCAGCCTGGAGAAGAGGAGGTTCAGGGGGATCTTATCGATGTATGTGAATATCCGAAGGGAGGTTACAAAGATGGAGCCAGGCTCTTCTCAGTGGTGCCCAGGGACAGGGCCAGAGGCAATGGGCACAAACTGAAACACAGGAGATTCCCTCTAAACAGCAGGAAACACTTTTTACTGTGAGGGTGTCTGAGCACTGGCACAGGTTGCCCAGAGAGGTTGTAGAGTCTCCATCCGTGGAGATATTCAAAAGACATGGTCCTGGGCAACCGGCTCTAGGTGACCCTGCTTGAGCAGGGGTGTTGGACAAGGTGACCTCCAGAGGTCCCTTCCACGTAACTGTTCTGTGACAGCCAGAGCTCTTTTGCTCCTCCTTGCTAACTGCAAGGATCCCTACACCTCTTCTTCCTGGCAGCACTCACTGTGTTGAAGAGCCGTGCTGGAACAGGTCTTGACTTAGTCTTTTCCAGGTAACTTTCCCAGTTGAAGGTCTGTG